GTACTATCGTTTTTTTGACTCGAAGGGGTTATTAATATTATAATTATTTTTATTATTATTATGATTATAATTATTATTATTGTCATTATTATTTTTTTATTATTATTGTTATCTTTTTTCATTATTATAATTTTGGATTCAGTAAAGTTTGATTTTGAATAATGCATATTTTTTTAACATGGAAAATTTAGAATTTAGAATTTACACTAAAGGTTTTCTGGGAAGGTCTGACATTTTTTGACAGATCATTTGAATATGCCGGAGAGCTGTCAAACTTCTATTAACTTTAGAGCTTTGCCCTTATTGTTATTTTCTAATCTTCTTCACTTTTATTTTTTCCTTTTCATTTTTTCTTTCTTTTAATTTGATTTCTTCAAAGGTTGAACGTTTTTTAAACGTAACGGAAGCGTCAAAGTTTAAGTGTTAGTTCATAAAAAACCGCGAGGGGCGGCTTGCACCAACGATTTTTAACCCTCTGGAATTTCTAAAGGAAATTTTGTAACTGGGGATACTGGGAAAATGCGTTGCCAAATTTATGATTTTTATATTTTTAAGTTTTTTAATCTATTCTTGAATTCCAAAATTAAAGAGCTAGAAGGTGACCGCAAACTTTTCAAGGGGGGGGACGAGGGGTGATATCGAGAGCAGAATTTTCATAAATTGTTTGAATATTATGAAAGTTCTATAAAAGTAATTAATTAATCCTCTGAACAACAAAAGATATCGATTACGGATTTCTGAAAAGATTAACTATGCCGAATTTTCCACCTCTATTTATTCAACTTCTTCTATTTCATAAATTGTCCTTTTTCATTCTTCAATTCTTCAATTTTCCCCCTTCTGTTTCACTTCACCTATCTTCTTTGTTTTATGTCTTCTTCACGCACCTCCGCCCCTTTGGTGAAAGTAAATTCAACCTATATTAAGCAAAAAGCCTTACTTCGTCAACTTTGTTGCACCGACTAGTCCTATCCATAGAGCTAAGTACAGTACAAACTGGAATCGGAAAGGTTGACCCGGCTCGGAAATTCAAAGGTACTACGGCTGCCCGTGTCTGTCCCTTCAATTAAAATATCTTCTTTTTTATGTTGCTTCTATCCCAATCTATTATTTTTTGCCTGCCCCTACTATTTGCTTACTCTTCTTTGACTTTATTTTTGTATTTATCTTTTATCCATATATTAATCTTCTTTTAGGATTTTATTTTGTTCCCAATTCTTTCATTGAATTTAATCCACTCTTTTCTTTTCTTTTTGGTTTTCTTTATCTTCATATTTCAATTTTAATATTTTTAAAAACTTTTTTATTTCAATCTTTTTTTTAGTTTTCTTTCTTAGATCGAAAATATTTTTCTTGTTTAAACAACTTTTTATTTCTCATATATTTAAATTCAAGTGGAATCGATTAAGAAATGTATCAAAAACCACCTAAGATATTGGACAGTCTCTTTACATCAAAACATTACGACAAATAAGGATTAAATACAGATTATACATTTTTACAAAAATACGGTTCTTACAACAACATTTTACCATTGATTTTGTTTACCCTATATCTGCTGGGCCAGGGCCTGGGAGGTCAAATTGACCCCTCTTAAAAAATCTGTGAAAAATTACTAAATTCCAATTTAAAAATACTTTTGTAAAGTTAAATTATATTTTGAAAGGATTCGATTTTTCGTCGAGACTTTATGATATAGCACAAAAAGTATCCCAAAAAAATATCTTCTTGATTAAACACCCCTTACAAAAAAACAGAAACAAAAAACAGCAGAAATAGGGTTAAATACTTCATTTCTTTCTTGATAAATGCTACTAATTCAATTCAGCACAAGCGTGATTTTTATTTTTGTATTTGTGTGATTTAAGTAGCATTCAAACTTCAAACAGTGTAAATATATATTTTCTTATTGTTCGGCAACAAAACTAGACAACATTCTTTGCTTTTTTTCCAGGAATAAAACTCCATAATAATTTTCTGTAAAATTGATATTAACAACATAACATATTATTCAAAATCTTTGACTATTTTTAAGTTTGTAATTAAAATTGTATTTCAAAGAACATATTAAAAAACTTCTTTGAATAAATGTATTTATTAAGAATCTTAAAAGTAATATTAAGAAAACTTAGAAATGCGCATTAACTTGAATAGTTTCCTGGTTTTGGAATAAACCCTAGGCGGGGGGGGGGGGTCACTCATAACCTAAGAATAGCATGGAAAAAGGCCTTCAAGTAAAGAAATATGGATGCAAGTATGTTCATAGCGCAATTTTTAATTAAAAATTAAAAAGTAAAAAGTATTAGACCGCTATTTTTAATAGTTCTGGCTTCTAAAGATTATTCTAAACCGCCCAACCTCAACAATTTTTAATGCAAATATTTTAAGTTGATAAAGTGCAAAAATAAGAGTGCTAAGTAAGTAAGTAAGTAAGAGTATTTAAACTAAAAACTTTTAGCGCTTTTCGCCATTTTCTTCAAGACTTTTCTTTAAGATTTTGGTCTTTCCAACTGAAGATATTTTTCCAAGCACGTTTTTTTAAATTCTGACAGAAAACTCTGATTTACATATTTTCTAGTGTTTACAAGTACAATAACACATTTCTTTGTGAAACATTTCTCCTTTTTTGGTGCACTTCTTTTTCTCCTGCTTTTGTTATTTGTCGTATTCTCCAAAATGCATTTTCTCAACTAGCTTCTAAACAAAGATAAATTATTATTTTCTCCAATTTTCGGTTAAATAACGATTTTAACAGCGCAGAAACAGGTAAACAAGACAGGGCTAAGCACCTCACTCATTCTTTGAATCCAATCGCATTTTTTTCAATTTTAAAATCAAGAAAATCTCTTTTTTACACATCTGTAAGATCAGGACATGGTATAACAGTATATCTGTAAGATCAGGACATGGTATATCAGTATATCTGTAAGATCAGGACATGGTATATCAGTATATCTGTAAGATCAGGACATGGTATATCAGTATATCTGTAAGATCAGAGTCTAAAACAAAAGAATGCGCCAATTTTAAGTTCGAGGTTAAAAGTTCTGTAAAATAATGAGTAGCTACTTAAATATTAAACTCTCTCAATCTTAAATCTAAATTTCCTGGGAAAAATCTGAACCAATCAGAGAAAAGGATTTACTAAGAATTTTTGCGTAACTATCAGTAATCAGCTGTTTTTTAAATTTTAAATTATTTAAGTAACGGAAGACAAAACATATATCCAGTTACAACCGTATTTTGGGTTTATGTGCAAACATTAATAAATCTAAAACGTGAAATTTATTAAATCAAGGTGTTTACTTTTAAATATATCATAATTAGTTGAATGCCGCTTACCGCTGAATGATGATAGACAAATGGATTGCGGGATTTCAAGATTTTAACACTGTATTTAAATTTTAACTCGTCGATTTCGGCGAGTTAAATATTTAATCATAGGGTTAAATATTTAACCTCAAGGTTAAGGTTCAGGTTTATATTAAGTCAGAAGTGGCATTTAGCCATGAACTAAAAATTTAAGTCAAAACTTTTCGTTCTTTAGTTTTAGACTCAAGATGGTATATCTTTATATCTAAAAGATCAGGATGGCTCATTTGTATATCTGTAAGGTCAGGATGGTAAATCTGTACATCTATAAGATCAGGATGGTATATCTGTACATCTGTAAGATCAGGAAGGTATATATATATCTGTAAGATCAGGATAGTATATCTGTGCAATTGTAAGATCAGGATGAACGTTTACCTGTATATCTGTAAGATCAGGATGGTTTGAATCGACTAGCTGATATTCAGTTACGCTTGGTCTACGATACCGATCCTGTAAAATTATGATTCATATCAAAGTATTTTTATCACCATTTGACCAACATCACCGACACATGATTCCCAAAATGTTTGTTATACATTATATTTTGAATTTGATCCGTTTTTTGGAAAATATCTAAAAAGTTTACAATAAAGTATTTTAACCAAGGTTTAAAGTTTTTTCTAGATTTTAGATTGGTCATTTGTTCTCAATGTACAGATATCTAGTGTTCTCAATGTCCAGATATCTAGTGAAATCGATTGACTTGACATGAGTTGAGTTAATTAAAGAAAGTTAGATTAGTATAGGATAGTATAAACCTATAATGGAATTTCAACTTAATCTATCTATGTCAGAATACAGGGGGGGGGGCGGGTTGGCTGACAAGCAAGATTGTCGCCATCTTCTTTTAAAATCTATCTTTTAACGTAATCTCTGTCTGTATTGTATGTCCAATCATAGCGCAAGAATATTTTGATCAATTGTCTAATATTTCAATATAAAATAGATGGTAATTGAAAAATTAACCCTATCCCTGCTGGGGTACTTGAAAACCAGGATACGCTGGGGGGTGGTAAATTTTACACCACCCCCCCCCCCTCTAAATGCCATTGTCTTAATTCGAAATATGACAAATGATACATCATTGGAATCTGGAAAAAATATTAAAGTTGAAAAATTTGTTTTTTTGCAAAATTCAATTAAAATAATTGCAAAAAAAATGTCCAAAAAATGATGAAATATACATTTTTGAAAAGCCCTTGACCATGCCATCTTTCAAATATGCAAAAAAATAACAAAATTGTAAAAAACCTGATGTGTAATTAATAAAAAATTAAAGTGTGAAAATTTCTTGTCATGGGTTGTATGCATAATTTGCAAAAATTTCTTTGCAAAACTTGTGCAATCCGTTTCCTTATGTCATAGGCTTTCCAAACTGCTAAAAATATCAAAATATAACAACTGAAAGTGGGTCAAAGCAAAGATTTAGTTTGTAACAGGAAAAAGTTATTATTCATGCAGTATGTCTGAGGACTGAGGCAGTTATTATAAAAACCCAGTTTTAGACCTAAATGGAGGGATATGTGTATTCAGGAAAAGTCAGAAAATTCCAACAGCCTCAAACCAATACTTTTTGAGTTGTGTAAAAAAAAACTACAGCAGGAATAGGGTTAACATTTTTTAAAAATAACGTGGCCAGTGGGTAAGATAAATTTAATTTCTTAATTTTCACTTCTATATTTGCCAACGTAGAAAAATATTTTAAAAGGATTCAGAATTGGAAATGAAAAAAAAGTCAAGATATATTTTTAAAATTAAATTAGACAGAAGATGTACATTTAAAGAACTCTAAATTTCTGCGACCTAAGTTTCAGGGTTGTTAGAAACTTTCTCAAAGGCCTTTTCCCAAGCGGCAACTTCCCAAGTAGCAACTTTCCAAGGATTAGGTCAGGGAGGTCAGGCCTTTGGGCAAGTAACTAAGACCTGTAAATGTCTGATAACAAAGACAAAATACAGGCATACACACTCATAATTTACTTTCTTTTCTTTATCTCCATGAAATTTAAAATGGAAAAATTCCTTGGGCGATTTATTTTTAAAAACAAACTAATTATACTTTTACCTCTTTCTGGAGCTCGGCTAGAGACGGCCGCCGATCATCAGAAGTATTCGACAGAGGACTTGAGACAGGGGTTCTGTAGTATACAAACCGAACAATTAAACATGAGATTTAAAGGGACTATTCGTGTATCCTCCATAATAAAATGGCAATGCTTGATTTACAACGCGACCCTTGAAACCTATCTGATCAAAAATGTGGAGGGTACTATCGTTTTTTTGACTCGAAGGGGTTTATTTCAGTGTCTTATAAACAAGAAATTTCCAAGTTACTTTCGCATAGAAGCTGAAAATGAAAATAGACAGTTTAAAGAAACAAAAATATTAATATCTAATACAGATTTGGTCAGGCACAGGTTTTAGTACGGTTGTGTGTCGGACAATGTCATTTTTGTGTTAAGGATTTCTTGAAATTAATCTTACAGTTTCTTTCAAAAATGCCGAATCTCAAACTTCTAAGTGACACTAAGAGATTTAAAAAAACTTTGTAAAAAATGTAGTTTTCGCTCTAAAAATATATCTATCTAATAAATAAAACTTTAGTTTAAAAAAAACTTTAAAAATTTGTTTCGTCTTTAAATTAATTGGTCTGAAGAACATAACGTAAAGTTTTTTTTTATAGGCCACCCCTAATTGGTTCAAAAAAGGACGGCCGGGATAGTTGAACTTCTGACACTTTTCACTGATTTTCATATTTATTTGTTCTTCCTGTAGCTTGAAGTTCTAGTGGGGTTTCTACAGCTTCCTCCCATAGTCCTGGAGAAAATTAATGTTTCCATAATACTTTGTCATAATTACTCTTTCCGGAATTAAGTTAATGCCATAAATTTAGCTATACTTTCCCTAATTAAGTTAATGTCATATTAGTTAGTTCCATAATGAAGTTATACTTGCCATATTGGAATTGCCATATTTATACTTTTAATGATACTTGCCATACTTGCCATAATACTTTTATACTTTTCATGATTAAGTAAATACCAAACTACTTTTGCCATAATTACACTTTCCTTAATAAAGTTAATTCCTTGATACTTTTGCCATAATTACACTTTCCTTAATAAAGTTAATTCCTTGATACTTTTGACACAATTACACTTTCCATAATTTATTCAATGCCATAATATTTTTTTTGCCATAATTAAACTTTCCCTAATCAAGGTAAACTAATGAACATGGTTATAATCTACAACTAGCTCAATTTTATAATTTAATAATTACTCCATGCCTGGTGGGAATTAGACCTGTAGTCCCTGGTGGCTTGTCAGGCAGAGACGATGTTCGAACTGCCTGAAATAAAAATATCATCTAAAATCTTTGTATATATATTAAGTAGTAATCTCTGTTTAATTGTTTGTATGGTATGTCTCATGATGGACCCCTGAATCGATTTGTCTCAAATTTTAATTGAGGAATTCGGTAGAACCACGGGAATGTTCAATTAGCTTGGTTTGAAAATTGCAATTTGATTGGGTTAATTTTTAGAGGGAAAACTTATTTTCCAGACAAAGCTGGTTTTCCAAACTAAGATTTTTATCCGTCAAATTAACCAATGCTAAAAAAGAATATTTTTTTCTTTTTGACAAAATTTTCGTTTCTTTAATTAGAAGGCATTTTCAGATTTATGAAATGTCATCTTTATAATTTGAATTTGAAATAAAAATATGATTAGACATTCTAATTTTTTTATGATGACTTGTACCTTAAAGGGAGTGACCGGCTATGTAAGGTAGTTGAACTGAGGACGCAGTGTTGTGGAAAACTTCTTTAGGATTCATTTGAGACATATTTCACTTTTTAAAAGTCTGTAAATCCTGAGTTTGAGCGCAAATTCGACGTTCAAAACTCCTGATTTGGGGGTGGATACGCTTTCGGAATTAATTTTTTTAAAATTATTAATTAACGACGACATAAAATGCAAAAATATTCTACAATAAACTACAGACGTCATGTTTAGGAGCATTTTGAGAAAATAAAAATTAATCTTATCATCGAAAATAAGTAATCTTGTTCAATTATTAGTTTCTATTATCTCATTATTCTAGTTTCTCGTTATTCACAAAGATGTTCGAAGATTTTCTATAATTATTATTGAAAAGACGACATTTAAAGAATTTGAAGAAATCTGCGAATAAATTCAAAGAAAATTAGAAATTCAATATAATAATGAAAACGAAATAATCGATTTTAGCATTGATTTATTGACAAATTTCTTTTGTGAAATATGTTCCTAGCCAGCTAATTAGATTACTGTATAATTTTTACTTTATTTTTGTTGTCGTTATTTAATAATTTAAAAAAACTAATTCTGAAAGCGTATCCACCCCCAAATCAGGAATTTTGAACGTCGAATTTGCACTCAAACTAAGGATTTACAGATCTTTAAAAAGTTTAATAAGTCTCAAATGAATCCTAAAGAAGTTTTCCACAACACTGCATTCTCAGTTCAACTACCTTACATAGTCGGTCACTCCCTTTAACACTGTTTATACTTTTCAAAATAAGTTTTCATATGTTTTAAAAATTTTGTTGCACTATAATTAATTAAATAAAAAATGTTTCTTGCGTCGAGATACATTTCTGCGGGTACTCAGAAATTTTACATAATAGAGACACAATTTGTGGTCTTAAATTCATCCTAAAATGCTTTTATCTAACTAACCCTCCCTTTACGGTAATTCCCTTAAAACCCTCATCAACTTTCCTCCGTTGTCGATTCCCTTTAAACCCTTATGAACAACCCTCCCTTAGCGGTAACTCCCTTTAAACCCTCAACAACCCTCCTTTGCCAGGAACTCCATATAAACCCTAATTAACAACCCTTTCTTGTCATAATATCCCTTTAATACCTCATCAACAAACTAACCTTTTGTCAGTACCTCCTTTTAATTAAACCCTAATTCACCCGCTTGCGTTCATTGTTTTTATTGATGATATTGATATTTGCATAGGTCACTTAATGATACTTAGTAAATTTGCCGATGATAAAGAGCTTAGTCATCAACAAGAATAACAACACTGTATACAGGATGCACTAAATAAATTGGTGGGCATGGCTTTCAACACACCTTCTTCAAATAGGGAGAAACAACGCTGAGCATGTTAACAACATGAGGGGACTAATCGAACAGTTGTTGATCATGAAACTGATCTTGGAATTTTTACCCCAAATTACTTGAGACCTGGACTCCAATATAAAGAGGCAGCAAAAAAAGCCAGAATTGTTCTTGGTCAGATCACACGTGCTTTCACAAATAGAGACAGACATATTTTTGTGAGACTCTACAAACAATATGTTAGACCACATCTAGAATTTGCTACTGCTGTTTGGACCCCTTGGAATCAAGGTGATATAGAACTTATGGAAAAGGTACAGATAAGAATAGGGTAGGGACGGAAGTAAATTTGCAATTCTCTCCTTGATTCTAACCCTCCTGCGCCAGTAACTCCCTTTAAACCCAAATCAAAATCCCCCTTTGCCAGTAATTCCCTTTAAATTTTTATCAACAACCCTCAATTGTCGATGATTCCCTTTAAACCCTCATAAACAAGATTTCGTTGTCAGTAACTCCCTTTAAAACCTCATCAGCTATCCTCTATTGTCAGTAACTCCCTTTAAGCTCTCATTAACAACATTTCGTTGTCAGTAACTCCCTTTAAACACTCATCAACAACCCTCCATTGTCAGTAACTCCCTTTAAACCCTCATTAACAACATTTCGTTGTCAGTAACTCCCTTTAAACACTCATCAACAACCCTCCGTTTCCGATAACTCCTTCTAAAACCTCATCTTTGATGAGCGACATTGTTGACTATAGCGGACACAAATAGAAATTAATGTCTGCTGGCCGCTGGGTAAAAAAGCAAGATCACTTCTCAATTAAAATTAACTGTGAAACACTAAAAAGTTTCAACATTGGAAGATGATAAGATTCGAATTCCCTTTGAAGACAGCAGCTCATTTAATCTATATTCAAGATATTTTTCTAGATGATATAAACCATAATTCTAGATTATCTAAACCATATTTCTAGATTATTAAAGCCATATTTTTATAAAAACCATATTTCTAGATGATGTAAACCTTATTTCTAGATTATCTAAACATATTTCTAGATGATATAAACCATATTTCTAGATGATAAAAACCATATTTCTAGATGATATGACCCATATTTCTAGATTTCCTAATTCTAATTAATCTAAATCATATTTCTAGATTATATAAACCATATTTCTAGATGATATGACCCATATTTCTAGATGTCCTAAACCATATTTCTAGATTATATAGACCATAAATCTAAATTATCTAAACCGTATTTCTAGATTATATTAACCAAATTTCTAGATTATCTAAAACATATTTCTAGATGATATAAACCATAATTATAGATGATATAAACCATATTTATAGATTATCTAAACGATATTTCTAGATCATCTAAACCATATTTCTAGATAATGTAATCCATATTTCTAGATTTTATAAACCATATTTCTAGATTATCGCCCGGGTAGAATCTAAGAGTCTGAAACCTAGTCTTAGACGCCGGGCCGACCTCCTCAGACCCTCTGTTTTTGGAAAAAAATATCAAATTTCACCAAATATATGTAATATGAGAAAAAACCATTAAAATATTTGAGCATTCCTCTCCCCATCCCTTTCTT